ATTGAGTTATAGATAGATAGAATAGGGATTGAGTAATATTGGGTCTAATTGAGTTATAGATAGCAACTGAGATATAGAAAAAGAAAAAACCTGTTTTTCTAACCATAGCAGCTCAGGGTTAGGGTGAAAGGATCACAGGATATTTTCTACCTTTTGGGGAAGAGTTACCCCAGTAACTGAAGAAAAAAGAAAGAAAGATCATCTCTATGGTTTCACCAATTGACTGTTTTGCTTGTAACTTTGACAAGCTGTGCCAAGTCTGCAAGGACTTTGAGAAATAAATATTCTGTTTTGGTGTTCAAAACCTGTAGTAGCCTCAGTTGCTGGGAATCTCAAGCTTCTAAAGAAAGACCCCCGCGGTCCACCCAGACAAAGAGAGAAGCACATCTTAGTTTTATTTTTATAGGATCTGGGTGTGACGGCACATAACCTTAACGTACCCTATACAATAAGACTCCATACCTACAGGGGATACATTCCTGGCCAGAGCATGGTTACAGGGAAATTGTCCTCTTTAGGGATTTGATAGGTCCTACAATTCACCTCTATGGTAACTTCTGGGGGAAGCATACCATAGAATCACCTATGGAATATAGCATATTATTAGAGAGACCCACCATGCGTGGGTAAGGCAAACCACAGATGTTTCTATTGGTGCAGGTCAAGAGGAAACTAGTGGGGTACAATGCAAAGCAGAACAAGAGTATTTAATGTGTTGTTTATAGAAGCACACACAAAAAAGACCATGACTAATAAAATGTGGAAGCTTCATAAGGGTGTTCATTTACCACTTCCCACAGCTGCAAAAAGCATGTGCTCCTTCCTAACGTTAAGCTCAGCAGTGAAACAAAACAGCTGTATTGATAAATCCGTTTGCCATTCATGCCTTTTTTGTAGCCATATATGAACTTCTTGACTGATTGATATAACAATTTCAACAAGTATTGTTGCTTTTAAGCAAGCAGTGTTAAGTGAGCACTGTGAATTAGTTTAAATGACATTTAACCGAAGGTCTCAAAATGGTATTTTAAAATAGTAGAAAAGGGATGGCAAATCTGATTTTCAAATATTTGTATGAGAGCTAGAACCATTTTTTTCTCCCTCACAGATAGTCTCCATAATCAAGTTAGCATCACCTAATATCAAAGGATGTCCTGATACAGAATAAGAATCCCATATTTGAAATGCTTGGGGCCAGGAGTATTTCAGGTTTTTTCCCAGGTTTGGAATACTTGCGTATACATATTGAGATACCTTAAAGATGAGACCCAAGTCTAAACCAAAAAAATCGTGTATGTTTCCTTCTAACTTATACATATTGTATGATTGTAACTTTATAAACAACAACTTAAATAATTTTGTGCACGAAGTAACTTTTGTGTAATTGAACCATTGGAAAGCAAAGGTTTCACTATGTCAGTCACTCATGTGAACGATTCTGGAGTATTTTGGAATTCCAGATAAGGTGTTACTCCACCAGTATGCAGTGCACATTTTTCAGATGGTACGAGGTCATCTATTTTATTGTAGGCAACCAAATAAATTTATTTTTCTGAAAGATCCGTTCAAGAGATAAATCGGAAATGGTTCTTTACTTTTATCTTTCAAAAGTATGCATAAAATACAATGAAATGTTTACAGAACACTCATTGTTTACTTTCCTTAAAACTGGAAGGTTGAGACAGCACAGACTAGATAAAGCAGCTTAGGGAACTGAGAGCTGCCCCATGGACTGTTTTTAATGAAGAACATGGAGAATTATCAAATAAAATTGCAGTGGGATTACTTAGGATACCTATGTTAGGCTTTATACAGTAAGACCTGGGTGGTAGATAGTGAAAAATACAAAAGGAAGATAGAAGAAATAAGACCTTATCTCATTCACTAAATGGTTCATCTATTCCAGTGGTTCCCAACCTGTGGTCCATTAAACACTAGTGGTCCACAAGAACAAAAATATGGTCCACAGCCTCACCATTACTACACCATTGCCTTGAAACTACAAAGCAATGAGAACGACTGGTCTTGCAAAACCTTTATAGTGCGGAGGCATCAGGGATGTTGGGAGGTTGAGTCCCCATGGAAGATTACTACTATCACATCAGCTCCAGATTATTAAATATGGTTTTCTGTGGGCGAGCAGATGGCAACTACTGGATGCCATATGTTCTGTATCAGAAACTAGAGCTGATGTGGTCTATCCAATACAATTTTCTGAATCGCCACCCCAAATAACCAAACCAAATCTAAAGTTGATCACAAACCTTTTTGGTATTAATGTTGGAAAGTGGTCCCTGATCAAGTGGTCCCTGGTCAAAAAAAGGTTGGAAACCACTGATCTATTCCATCTGAAATTTAAATTTCTCATTAAATATAACTTAGAGATAAAACTGAAATAGCTCTTCTGCAGAAATATGACAGATTGCCTGCTAGAGCTTCTTGGATGACTAAAATATCATATTTATTGTTAATTGAAAATGCCTGTACATGTTTGGACCTAAAAGGAGGAAGAAACAGCTCAATTCCCTTAAGGCAAATTGTATTATTCTCAAAAATAAAGAACAGGTGGGGAATTATTAATAGAATTAATAAGACTTCCAGGATTATCATGCTTGGATAGATGTACTCATTTATTTCTGTAATTAAAATCTGAATTGTGCAATTTCCAAGAAAAGCATATTTTAGCATGGATCCTTCACTACCAAATTAAGTTTCCTAATTTGTTAGCTGATATAAGAAATAGGGTAGTTACAAAGAAATGATTGCTGTACATATTTAATGTTTTTAAGCTACATGACAAGCTGTACAAACTACAGTTAATATGTTGAAGAAAGTGGGTGCACTTGAAATAAAGTGTTTAGACATAAATTAAGGGCAGTGTTGAATTAAGAGTTTAAAAATGAAAAGTTCTGTTTATTCAGAAACAATTTTGCTCTTCCATCCCCTCAATGTCATCCTTATAGGACAGGGCAGTGGGGTGAGCTTCTACTGTTAGTCCCCAGCTTGTGGCAACCTAGAAGTTTGAAAACGTGCAAATGTGAGATCAAAAGGCAGGAAGGTAACTGCACTCCATGCAGTCATGCTGGCCATGATCTTGGAGGTGTCTATGGACAATGCCGGCTCTTCAGCTTAGAAATGGAGATCAGCACCACCTTGCAGTCGGACTCAACTAGACTTAATGTCAAAGGGAAACCTTTACCTTTAGGACAGGGGTAGGCTGCTGCCCAAGGCCTCACCAGATCCCCAAAAGCCCTACAATCCCCAGCACTGTGTTGTTTTTGATCCAGGCAAAATTACTTCTTTTGAAAAACAAACACACTTAAAACAATTTAGTGGACAGCATGGCAAAATTGCCCTTTGCTCCCTAGAGGATGCAAGAAAGCATTAAAAGAATGAGGAGCAAGTGTCACAAAATGCAGTTTCCTCATCCCATTATGAGCTATTAAAATGTGGACCAGTTCACTCTGTTTTAGTCACCAGCATATCAGAGCTCAAAGAGAACAGATCATTTTTTTTCCTCCCTTAGATTTCAACATGCAGATTACCAAACAGTATTTTTACATTGTATTCACCCAAAAAGTTTTATCAAACCATTTGTTATGCTCTGGAGAGCATAACAAATTAACTTCCGCAGCTTTTAATAAATACAACAGCCACTGCCATCAAATGTGACATTTTTTTCATGTTTTATTGTTGAACTGTGCACTACTTATCATAAGAGAATATTTTGTTGGAAATAGCAACCGTCTCAAGTCTCTGCTAGTTATTTGTTATGCATTGTATGCGTATATTGTTTGCAATTTTACCTAACCACATCAGCTCTAGTTTCTGATACAGAACATATGCCATCCAGTAGTTGCCATCTGCAGACCATGTGATCAGAACTAGGCATGTTCAAACTCAGACTTCATTTTAGAGAGAGTTGAAGCCATTAGACTCTTAGAGAGAGTAGAAATCTTATGTATGTTTTTAGGAATCTGTGTGTGTTTACTTCAGAAGCAGATGCCTTTAGATCAGTGGTTCTCAACTTGTGGGTCCCTAGATGTGTTGGCCTTCAACTCCCAGAAATCCTAACAGTTAGTAAACTGGCTGGGATTTCTGGGAGTTGTTGGCCAAAACACCTTGGGACCCACAGGTTGAGAATCATTGCTTTAGACTTCAGTAAGAACAGTTATGCTTTGGACTATTGTTTCTAAGGAAGATGCTCTGTGTTACCTACACAGAGAAACTACTTAAAATCCTATTGTAACTGGATTCATAGAGCCCCTGGTGGCACAATGAGTTAAACCCTTGTGCTGCCAGGACTGCTGTCTGACAGGTCAGCAGTTCCAATCCAAGGAGATCAGGTTGAGCTCCCTCTGCCAGCTCCAGCTCCTCATGTGGGAACAAAAGAGAAGCCTCCCACAAGAATGATAAACCATAAAAACATCTGGGAGTCCCCTGGGCAAAGTTGTTACAGATGGCCTATTCTCTTACACCAGAAGCAACTTGCAGTTTCTCAAGTCACTCCTGACACAAAAAGAAAAAAAAACCCTGTATTCATAAGCAAAGTGTCTGTATACTGTATACATGAAGTTCTGTGAGTAAACCAGCCCTGTTACTTTTAAAGAAGACTGGTTATTTTGTCTCTTGAGAGAATGATTAAAGGGAAATATACTTTAAGGGAGAGTAGATGTTTTTTGGCAACTAAAGGAACACTTCTGAAATTCTGCTGAATAAAAATGTGTTTGTGCATTGGCATGTCTTCGTCCCTAACAGTTCAAAGACATACTTAAGTATATCAGTTTAAAAGCTGAGAGACCTAGTTGCCTTGCATGAACATTGCATGCTGTTCAACAATGCATGATGTTCACCAGCATGCCTTGCATGCTGGTGAACATCATTTTTCAAAGGGTTGTAACTTCTAACAAGGTCATACCTTTCCTGTGACCAGTGGTTTTTCAAAAAGGTTATGCATCCCATTCCCAAAATGGTTAAGGAGATTCACATTTTCCAAAATATTTACACAAAAGATCAATTGTATTCCTTAAAAAATTAAGGTACATTCATTCAATAATCTTGAAAGGATTGCTTCAAATAAAACAAAACATTTGTCGATCTGTAAATTTCACAGAACTACTTCTTCTAATTTATGGTCCTGCTGTTTTTCACTTGTCCATGAAATCCGGAATTCAGGATCTTCTGTATAAAACTCACATCCAAAACATAAACTCTTATGTTCTATGTTTGAAAACCAAAGCAGTTACACTGCTTCCAGTTCTTCCTCCAAAGCAGAATGTGGGTGTTGGCAACTCTTCCAGAAAAAGAAATCCTGTCAAATGTAAGTAAGAAGCTTTAGTTAGAAAAACAATACTTTATTACTCTTATTGAATAACTTTATAAATTCTGTTATGAATTCAAAAAGAGAACATATAGTTCAGCAAATTCTTCAGGTCCTTATAAGCATTAATATTATACATAGATTAAAGACAGATAACAGTAATACCAGTCATTCCCATTTCAGCTGGAAATACCTGGAATTATTTCTTTTCAACTAGAGCTCAAAGTATCCATTTTTAAATAAGTCTGTCTGGGATCATAAAATCCAAGTTCTGTTTTAGCTTCTCAAAAGTAAGCTTACTTTTACGGGCATATGAAATGATTGGCATTTTATTTTATTTTTCAATTTGGGAAATGAGAAAGGAAATATATGATCAGGAATGGAGGGTTGTTACTTTCATGGTTTCCTCTTTCTGTTGAAATTATCCACATGCTTGTGGATTTCAGTGGCTTCTCTGTATTGTCTGACCTGGTGGCTGTTAAGAGTGGTCCAGCATTTCTGTGTTCTCAACATACAATGTCCAGGTTGGTTTATCAAGTGCTCTGTTATGGCTGACTTGTCTGGTTGAATTAGTCTGCAGTTTCTGATTGTTTCTCCAGACAGGAAACAATCAGGGGCAGCTAACACCCCCCAACAAAGGAGTCCTCCAGACAGAAAGTAGCCAGACTTTGAAAATGCAAGGCTATTCAATGCTATTCAAGGTGGGTAATTGCAACATTCACACCTGCCTCAAATAGACGAGAGCTTTTTTTCTCCCACCTTGATATTCCACAGATATATAAACCTCACTGCCTAGTTTCCAACAGACCTCACAACCTCTGAGGATGCCTACCATAGATGTGGGCAAAACGTCAGGAGAGAATGATTCTGGAACATGGCCATGTAGCCCAGAAAACTCACAGCAACCCAGTGATTCCAGCCATGAAAGCTTCTGACAACTTACAACAAAATGTTTAACAGTAAACAAAAAGTATGCTCAAATTCTAGCCACCGGGGAAGCTGTCGCTTCACCATCCACTTGTGACACCGAGTCCTTTGATGGAGTGCTTCCTCATTCTTTCGCCCGCTGCTGGAGATTTTTATGGCATCGTAAATTAGTTAAATTAGCCTCCCCATATAAGTGGTACCTAAATTTCCTACTTGACAGATGCAACTGTCTTTCAGGCTGCAATGGTCAACAGCAAGGTAGACAAAAGGTTGGGAGCTTACTCTGACCCAGGATGGCTTCGAACTCATGACTTTTCGATCAGTGGTGATTTAATGCAGCTGACTCCTAGCCATCTGCACCATGTCCCAGTCCTAACTGATTGCAAACGAGTTGCTAAGAAGGACTGCAATTTCCCCCTCTGGGGATGTATCTCAAAGGGACAGGGTCTAATTAAAGTTCCCTCCCACAGAAAGCTATACAAAAAGGAACTGAACCCATTCTAACTAAGGGGACAACTGAGGCTTAACAAAGAAAACAGTAAAAGCCTCTATGGGGACATGTCAGGGATGTCATCAAGGCATATGTCACCACAATCAGATTTGACTTTTTAAAAAACGGGCGTAACTGCTGCGCTAGTTTTAACTGCTCAAAATGTAGGGAATATTTACCACACGAAAACAGTCTGTATCACATCACAAGGAAATCTACCCAAAGTGCATCTGATTTCCAATTATTTAAGCATATGTTTCAATTTTAATGTGTTTTGGTTTTTGGTATCAATGGCAATCAGTAACGTGAATTTGAGAACAAAACACTTTTGATATGACTGCTTAATATGACTTGATAGGACTGCTTAAGAAGCATAAACATGAATTAAGTGCTTATAGACTTCAGTGTATTCGAGGTCTTCAATGTGGCCTTTCACAATAGGAATCCAATACTTTTTCTTCACTGACTTTCAAATGTTACTGAGCATCACCCCCAGAAAACTCTGCAGCAGTAATTCTTGGCATGTAACTAGATTCTTAGATTTAATCTTCATTAAGCATAGGCACAATGATCTCTCATTAGTGTTTTAATGTCTCCAGTTCAAGAAGAGGTACAGCTCAAACACAAACAGGTACTTTCATCACTGCAATGCCAAGCACTTCTGGCATGGGGAAGAAACAAAAAGTACGCTAAGATTCTGAAATAGATATATGCAATTGCAAGCCAGACATGTACCTTCTTTGAATTCATTACTTAGTTCCTCTTTGGTCCAGTTACAAGAAGTTATGAGGAAAAAGCCTCCTGGTCTCAGCACTTTGTGCAGGGATTTCACGTACTGTTTCCTTTTCTCGGCTGCTTTGTCTGGGTTCAGACTGATGGCATCAAAGGTTCCTTTATCAATGCAAACATCAAAACCTGATAGTTCATCTGAGGGATTTAAGATGTCTTCAACCTGTACAACAGAGGTGTAGCTGTTGAATATGATATTTTATTGCAATGATTACTTTAAAAACACACAACATGAACTATTGGGACCTAAGAAAAATGAAACTATTCTAAAACTTCCTAATAAATGTTCTAAATCTATGATCAGATCCATTCCATTGGTTGTAACACCTGTGTGCTATTCAACTGTTCATCACACCTTATCTAACTTTTAAAGCCTCTATTTTTTTTATCGCATCAGAAGCAAATTGAAGGTACAGTTATAAGGTATTTAAAAACACAAAGTTAAAAACTTGGCATTATATTAAATGTCCTTTGACCAGTAGCTGGCCACTTGGAGCGCCATTGATGTTGCTATAAGAAGGTCCTCCATTGAGCATGTGACAGGGCTCAGGATGCATTGTAGTAGGTGGTCTGTGGTTTGCTCTCTCCACACTTGTGTGTCGTGGACTCCACTTTGTGGCCCCAATTTTGAAGAATGGCTTTGCACCTCGTGGTGCCAGAGTACAGTCTGTTCAATCCCTTCCAAGTCACCCAGTCTTCTGTGTAGCCAGGGGGGAGTCTTTCATCCGGTATCAGTCACTGATTGAGGTTTATTTATTTAGTTATGGCATTTATATGCCACCTTTCTCACCCCGAAGGGGACTCAGAGCAGCTTCCAATATACACACACACACACACACACACACAATATATTATATTATTAGCATTATTATTATTAAACTTTATTTGTACCCCGCTAGCATCTCCCGAAGGACTCAATGCGGCTTACACAGGCCAAGGCCTCAACAACAATACAACAATGTAGTCTAAGCAAATCAAACAAATTAAAACAAAATTATATTATTATTAGCATAGTACAATATCAGTATTATATATTACTATATTGTACTATACCATTATATTGTAATATAATTAGTAATATTACATGTAATATAAAAGATATAAATATAATATTGTTAGTATTAGTACTAGTATGATATTATATATATTGTATTACATTGTATTATATTATATTATATGACATTTTAACCTGCCACTTTTAGACTCTCGCTTGCTGAGGTATTTCTGTGAGTATCTCTGTAGATCTTAGAAAGGTATTTCTTGATTTAAGATGTTGGCGTGCTGGCTGATATCTGAAGAGAGGATGGACCGGAGATGTCACTATCTTGGTCCTTTCATTATTGGCTACTATTTCTCGATGGACATCGGGTGGTGCAATACCGAAGAAACAGTATAATTTCTCCAGTGGTGTGGGGCATAGACATCCTGTGATAATGGCATGTTTCATTAAGAGCCACATCCACTGTTTTAATGTGATGAGATGTGTTCCACACTGGGCATGCATATTCAGCAGCAGAGTAGCAAAGTGCAAGGGCAGATGTCTTCACTGTGTCTGGTTGTGATTCCCAGGTTGTGCCAATCAGCTTTTGTATTATATTGTTTCTAGCACCCACTTTTTGCTTGATAGTCAAGCAGTGCTTCTTGTAAGTCAGAACATAGTCTAGGACAGTGGTTCCCAAACTTATTTGGCCTACCCACTGGAAATCAATTTTTCTAAATCTTCTCTTCTTTCTTTTATGTTTTCACCGCCCATTACAGTTATTCATCACCCCCAAATGCACCTGTGGCCATTACCGCCCCCGAACACTGCAGCGCCCACCAGGGGGCGGTAATGCCCACTTTGGGAATCACTGGTCTAGGATAACTCCCAGGTGTTTTGGTGTGCCAGTGGGATTCCTTCCAAGGTAATCCTCAGAGCTTGTCAGTTCTTAAGATGAAAACACAATTCTGCTTTTTAGATGGATTAGGAATCAGCTGAATTTCCCTGTAGTAGGCTGTAAGAGCACCTAAAGCCTCTATTATGTCATTATTCTTAAATTAGATAGCCCCAAGTGTTTATGGTACCTTCACATCTACTTTGTTCCACAATAGTTTACCTGCAACTTGATATATGGCAGCCCTTCCTTTTCCATTATGCTTTTTGAAAGTTCCACAGCAGATGGACAGTAATCAATTCCTGTAAGATTGGTATAACCAGATTTGGCCTTAAAAACAGGAAAGAAAACCCAGTTAGTCCTAAACACCTTTCCTTAGGTTACTATCCAATGTCTGTGGTGTTTATTTAGGCATAACTGTCTATAGGACTGAAACAAACATTTTATTTTATTATCATGTCAGAAGCGACTTGAGACCACAGGAAATCGCTTCTGGTATGAGTATTGTCCGTATGCAGAGACGTTGCCCAGAGGATGCCCAGATGTGTTACCATCCTGTGGGAGGCTTCTCTCATGTCCCTACATGGGAAGCTGGGGCTGACAAACAGAAGCTCACCCCATCTCACAAATTCGTTTATTAAGGCATGACAGTGGAAAATGCATTTTGCAAATTGATTTCAAGATAAGGGTAGTTTCAGAGGCTACACTGACAACCAAAATGGTTGCATGAATGAATCCATTGTCATATATATTGTACCACATTTCCTGGATCAACTTTTTTCAACAAAAAATACTAAATACAGGAGGAGATCACACTTCAGATTAGGGGGATACATAGCATAATTCCTTTTCAAATATTACAATGAGAATGCAGTTTAAAACACCCTGCAGTGCCTAACACAGTAAAGCCACACATAACTACTTTTTAATTAAAGAACACCTCTAAAGTAATTAATTCATTTTTTAAAAATCCTATGAAATTGGCCTGTTTCTCTTAAAAACAAATATGGTATGTTTTCTCTCATCCTACTTGAGATATGATATCGTTTCACTAATTTCTACAAACAGTATGTTGAGAAAGTTGTATTAGAACTAAGGCCCTTCTACACTGCCATATAATCCAGATTATTATTTCTCCAAATGCAGACTAATTGACATAGGACAACGGAATGACTAGACAACAAGACTGGACGTTTTTAACAAGGAGACACTATGGACTTATATTTTATTAATTCTGTTTAGTTTTTATTCTATGTAATGTTTTAATTGTATTTATAACATTGTAAGCACTTTCTCAGTTGCTACGGGCTGAGAAAAGCGGTATACAAATACAGTAAATAAATAAATAATAAATAATCAAAACAGATAATCCACATTATCTGCTTTGAACTGGATTATATGAGTCCATACTGCCATATAATCCAGTTCAAAACTGATTATCTGGATTTTATATGGCAGTGTAGAAGGAGTCTAGCTGGTAGGTAGTAGGACAAATCTTTGAATGTTATGAACCAAGATGTAAGAGAGTATTAGAATCTAGTAGGAGCCAATTGGAGATACACTCAGGACTGAAATTTTCACAAGGTCTCCATCTAAATAGCATTTGGGTGTTTGAAGCTCCTTCTTGTGGCCCCAATTTTATGCAATTTTGGTATGACAATACTAGTGCTTTCATGCTCACAATAAGGATTCAAAATGAGTTCACATAATACAGTCATGCCCATGGATATGGACCACTGCATCATAATTAACAGTTCAGTCAATGACTAGCTGTTGCTTGCTTGGTCCCCAAGTTTAAATGATGCATCACAAATCACTGCTTTTACAAATACCAACCAATTCAACAAGCAAAACTCCGTTTCCCATTCCAATGTCGAGCACAGAGCAGCCCAGGGGTATCTTTTGTTTCTCTAGCCATCTAATTAAACGAGCCATGCTCTCTTCGCCAAACCTAATGAGAAACAGAGCTTCAGGTAAGTAGTTCCATTGGTCTATGCATAAAAAGCAAGCAAACTTTACCAGTGTCAGGCAATGCATCCACATCATGTTAGCATCAAGGCATCACTCCTCGGAGATCACATTACAAGTTTGTTTAATTAATTCTTTAACTGAATGGATGGCTCTGAAACTTGTCAGGTTAAAATTACACAAGAGGTTCTTGCTGTTGTTATAAAAACACATTGTGCAGAAACTCAAAGCAGCAGTGCATCTTTCTCTGTGCCTCTTATTTAAATTTTGACAAACCTCGAGGATATAAACACTTGGCCTCTGCAATGCAGCCCACGGCCAGCAATTTATTTCCCCCATAAAAAAACACAGATGTCAGATGATAATTAGCTGTTTTAATTTGCAACAGGTTTACTCCAGACCAGAGCTGGCATTTTTCATGAAAACCTCTGTAACACATTACAAGTACTATAAGCATAACAGCTGATGTACCATTTTATTTTATTACATGCAAAAAAAAATATGGACAAATATTTGCTGAAGCCTGTTATGGTCTTATCGATACTTGCCAGATTTCACCAGCATCACCACTTTCTTTAAAAAATTTCAGTTCTCGTTCATAGGCTGCATCCCAACTGTAGATGAAGAAAAAACACTGAAATTAAGAGAACAAAGACCTACATTGCCTGTTGTTACCGTAACACCCAGAGGATAATATCTAAGAAAATATTACTTGCTCTCTTCCCAGAGGAAAAACAACTTTATCCTTTGGCCAACAACCAACCACAACTTGATAATTTCCATTCAATTTACATTCTGTGCGTATTAAGTAAAGGTAAAAGTTTTCCCCCGACATTATGTCCAGTCGTGTCCGACTCTAGGAAGTGGTGCTCATCTCCATTTCTAAGCTGAAGAGCCGGTGTTGTCCGTAGACACCTCTAAGGTCATGTGGTGGGCATGACTGCATGGAGCGCCATTACCTTCCCGCCAAAGTGGTACCTATTGATCTACTCACATTTGCATGTTTTCCAACTGCTAGGCTGGCAGAAGCTGGGGCTGACAGTGGGAGCTCATGCCGCTTCCTGGAGTCGAACCTGCGACCTTTAGGTCAACAAGATCAGCAGCTCAGTGCTTTAACCCACTGCACCACCAGGGGCTCCTCTGTGGATATTAACTTTGGTATACCCATGCCAAGGGCCCCCTGGTGGTGCAGTGGGTTAAACCGCTGAGCTGTTGAACTTGCTGACCAAAAGGTCGCAGGTTCGACTCCAGGGAGCGGCATGAGCTCCCACTGTCAGAATCCGGGGAGCGGGGTGAGCTGTTAGGCCGGGCTTCTGCTGATCTAGCAGTATGAAAACATGCAGGTGCGAGTAGATCAATAAGTACCACTTCTGCGAGAAGGTAACGGCACTCCATGCAGTCATGCTGACCACATGACCTTGGAGGTGTCTATGGATAATGCCAGCTCTTCGGCTTAGAAATGGAGATGAGCCTATAGAATCTGTTTCTCCTTGGAACTACTCACATCTGATTTTTTTACAGATTGGCTGAAAGCTGCTCCTACATTCAGTATAAGAAAAATGTCATGTAATTATACTACTGACATCGAATCATCCAGGTTATAATAAATAAATAGATAAATAATAATAATAATAATATCTTTATTTATATCCCGCCCCATCTCTCCAGAGGGACTCAGATTAGTACACTGGAGCCCCCAGTGGTGCAGCGGGTTAAAGCGCTGAGTTGCTGAACTTGCTCACCGAAAGGTGGGTGATTCGAATCTGGGGAGCTGGGTGAGCTTCTGTTGTAAGCCCCAGCTTCTGCCAACCTAGCAGTTCGAAAATATGCAAATGTGAGGCGATTAATAGGTACTGCTCCAACGTGAAGGTAACGGCACTCCATGCAGTTATGCTGGCCACATGACCTTGGAGGTGTCTATGGATATCGCCAGCTCTTCGGCTTAGAAATGGAGGCGAGCACTCACCCCCAGAGTTGGACACGACTGGACTTAATGTCAGGGGAAACCTTTACCTTTACTATAAACATGCCTGGCAATTTATTTATACTACTCAGTATTTATAAGTAACCATGCAAATGTTTTTTCTGCAAATTTCTTTTTTTTAATTGTATTCCCACTTATTATTAATATTTCCAAAGTCATTTAGAGAGCTTCAAGTGAAAAAAGCCAATGAACCCTGACTCCCACTGGTTTCAATATGATTTACTTTATGTAAGTGCATATAAGATTTAAGTTTAGGTCATTTAGAGTGTAGGAAAATGGCCTAGGGAGAGGAAGGTATTTTTTCTACCAGACACTTCTTGCATAAGGGAGAGAAGTCAAATGGAGAGGTCATCCTTAACTCTCTTTACAACAGTGTGGAGAAGCCAAAACTCAGGATCTTAGAGTTGAAGAACTGATGTAAGAGTAATCGACATGCAACTGTGAGATTAACAGGACCAGTAAGTGTTATTGACATAAAAGGGATAGCTTGCAAAACAAGTTTCAAAGCACTGTGCATGAAAGAGATAACAGTTGCCACTTTGGCCTTTAGAAGTGACCTGACCTGAAAAAGTATTTTTAACCAGCTGGTTGGTTTCTATTTTTGTTCAATCTTAAGTGTTAAGCAATTCTGGGTGGCGAGACAATTAAAATGTGTACACTAAAAGTCTAGCTCTCTTATACAATGACTACATTTTAAATATGAAAGCGTACAGGAGCTCAAGAGTTCCTAGAAAGGACACTTACATTATTTTGGATCCTCCCTCCGAATCCCAGATCTGTAATTTTGCCATTTGAATGAGAGATTTCCCTCTGCCCATATTATTTTATACATCCCAATGACTAAACAATGCTACAACTTTTATTAACTTATTCAACACATGGGGATAATATGAGTCTGGTCACAGAAAGCTACACAAACCACAATGATTCCACTTTGTACCATATTTAAATTGCAAAAGAAGCAACCCAAATCCCACCTCATTCTTTTATCCATATGTTCTCAAAGCTTGAAAACATTTTGCATTTCAGAATGCAACTACTAGAGTTTTTTCCGCCTTCTTATCTCTTGAAAATGAGAGTTTTTAATGCTAGTATTATTAGAACTTCTTTGTCCTTCTGGTTTGTTTGTTAAACTACATGCAAGATACAGTAATGAAGATTATTCTACACTCCTCATTCTCAAACATTAAAAACTTGAGTGTGGGAGTTGCTTTAAAAAAATTATGAGCCATAGTTCTCTTTATGAGACTTGTGTGTGTCCTGTGTTTGCTTTAGGTAATTTGCTCTTTGAGCTAGATTAATGCCTTCCTCAGGATGAAAACCTCAGTCTTCCAAGGGTGGATCTACACTGCAGAATTAATCCAGTTTGACAGCACTTTAACTGCCATAACAAAATGCTGTGGAGTCATAGGTTTTGTAGTTCGGTGAGGCACCAGCACTCCTAGGCCCTTTCTACACCGCTATATAATCCAAATTATCGGATTTGAACTGGATTATACAGTAGTGTAGACTCATGCCCCTTCTACACTGCCATATAAAATCCAGATTATCTGCTTTAAACTGGATTATATGGCAGTGTTGACTTAGATAATCCAGTTCAAAGCAGATCATGTGGATGATGTGCTTTGACAATCTGGATTATATGGCAGTGTAGAAGGAGCCTCATATAATCCAGGTCAAAGCAGATAATGTGGATTATTTGATTTAACAATCTGGATTTTACATGGCAATGTAAAAAGGGCCTTAGGCTGGATCTGCACTGCCCTATATCCCAGGATCTGATCATAGGGCGCTTTCACACAGCCCTATATCCTAGAATATCAAGGCAGAAAATCCCACATTATTTGAATGTGGACTCAGATAACCAAATGAGAGACTCCCTCCTGGGCACACAGAAAACTGGGCGACTTGGAAGGCACTGAACAGACTGCACTCTAGAACCCCGAGATGCCGAGCCAGCCTTAAGAAATGGGGCTACAAAGTGGAGTCCACAACATGTGAAGGTGGAGAAGAGCAAACCACAGACCACCTACTACAATGCAGCCTGAGCCCTGCCACATGCACAATGGGGGACCTTCTTACTGCGACACCAGAGGCACTCCAAGTGGCCAGCTTCTGGTCGAAGGACATTTAGTATAATGCCAAGTTTTTAACTTTGTGTTTTTAAATCTATGATAACTGTACCCTCAATTTGCTTCTGACAAGATAAATAATTAGTTGGATGTTAAAGTTGTGGGAATCCTTCATATTATACTCTGAGGTTGTGGGTGGATGCGGGTACAAAAAAAAGACCCTAATAGCTTTGGATAAGAAAAAATTTAACAGATTTGAAGTGCGATTTTAGAAAGATCCAATTCAAGTATCAAAACCTAGAAGAGTTCTGAAAGCAGAGAAACCGATTTTGATGATATCCAAGAGATATGTGGTTCCATTCTGATTTATCAGTTGGATATACAGATATTCGCAGGAACTCCTCAGCAAGCAAGAGTCCAAAAGTGGCAGGCTAAAACCCAGAACTTCAATCCATGGCTGATACCAAATGAGAGACTCCCTCATGGGCACACAGAAGAGTGGTTGACTTAGAAGACGCTGAACAAAATGCGCTCAGGCACCACGAGATGCTGAGCCAACCTTAAGAAATGGGACTACAAAATGGAATCCACAACATGCGAGTGTGGAGAAGAGCAAACCACAGACCACCTGCTGCAATGCAACCTGAGCCCTGCTACATGCACAATGGAGGACCTTCTTGCGGCAACACCAGAAGCACTCCAAGTGGCCAGATACTGGTCAAAGGACATTTAGTATAATGCTCAGTGCTATGGAATCCTGGGTTTTGGAGGTTTTTTTTGGTAATGTCAGGAGTGACTTGAGAAACTGCAAGTCGCTTCTGGTGTGAGAGAATTGGCCATCTGCAAGGACGTTGCCCAGGGGATGCCCATATGTTTCGATGTTTTATCATCCTCGTGGGAGGCTTCTCTCATGTCATGGAATTTGGTGAGGCACGAGCTCTCTTTGGAAGAAGAGGCAAAAGACCTTGTAAAACTACAAATCCCTGGATTTCATTGCACGGAGCCCACTGAAGTGGAAGCTGTGCCAAAACCGCATTCATTCTCCGGTATAGATGCGCCCTGATCTCTCTGCCTTGTGGTGCCACTCACTGTTCCTTGGTCCCCAGGGCCGAGGGGCCAAACTCCTCCTCGCCACCCATCGCTGACGCCTCTGTGAAGGGGGAGCGGCGATGCGCATGCGCGGATTTCGCCACTCTAGGCTGCTGGAGGACCTTCTTCTCACTGCTCTCCTGACGTCTTCCTGTTAGATTGAGGCAGTGGGAAGGAAGGGGTGATCACTGTAGAATGGATACTGTTTGACATCACTTTGAAAAACCATGGCTCACAAATATTAAACGTTCACAAACTCATCCTAAAAAAGAAAGGGAAAGGAAAGACATTTTTTTAAAAGGGATATATTCTCATCTTCTTTTCATCAGTGATTTAAAGGTGTAGTCCAATGATTCCAGAACTACAGCTCTACAAGGAAGCTTGGACTTCATTTCCCAGAAGCCTCAGGTGTTTGGGACAATTATCAGGGATTCTGGGAGTTGAAGTCCAAAACCCTCTGAAAGACCAGCGTTTGGGAAGCATGCCCCTCTGCCATCAATATAAAAATGTATAAAAAATAACCTGCACAACTAGTGTTTCTCAGAACACCTAGCCCTCTCTCCCTCTCTCTGTATATGTGTTTTATATGTGTGTATATGTTTTGTGTCGGCAGGATAGGAGATTTAAAGATGGGCTCAAAGGCAACCTTAAAAACTCTGGCATAGACATTGAGAATTGACTTAATGTCAAGGGAAAACATTTACCTTTACCTATATATCTTCTTCTATATATATAAAAATGCTCTGTGCATAATGAGTACCTTAAAAACAAAAGAACCAATGAACGAAATCCCAATAAATTTGGCAACAAAACGTGTCACGACACAAGGAGTGACCATCACTCAAAAGATGATGATTTTGTCATTTGGGAGTTGTAATTGCTGGGATTTATAGTTCACCTACAATCAAAGAGCATTCTGAACTCCATCAACGATGGAATTGAACCAAACTTGGCATACAGAACTCCCATGACCAACAGAAAATACTGGAAGGGTTTGGTGGGCATTGACCTTGAGTTTGGGAGTTGTAGTTCACCTACATCCAGAGAGCACTGTGGACTCAAACAATGATGGATCTGGACCAAACTTGGCACAAGCACTCAATACGTCCAAATATGAACACAGATGGAGTTTGGGGGAAATAGACCTTGACATTTGGGAGTTGTAGTCACTGGGATTCACAGTTCACCTACAATCAAAGAGCATTCTGAATCCCATGAATGACAGAATTGGGGAAAACTTCCCACACAGAACCTCCATGACCAACAGAAAATACTTAAAGCCATCCAGTCCAACTCCCTTCACCAAGGCAAGAAAACTGTCAAGACCCAGAGCAGTCAGCAACACACACATAATCAAAACCCTCCTGACAAAGAGCCATCCAGCCGTATAGATAGATATGATTCTCTCACACACAGATATAGCATCATAGATTTTAAAGGGACCCCTGAAGAAGGACAATGATATGTTGCATATTCCAAAGTAGGCAAACCAGACAATCTCCACATCAACACTGACATAGAAACAGCAAGAAATACTATTTACCCATAAGCATAAAAGAATTACATATATTAGAAACCATTACTTTATTTTCCAGATCACCAGACTGGGCCACAGCATGTGGGAGTTGTAGTTACTGGGATTTGTAGTTCACTTACAATCACAGAGCATTCTGAACCCCACCAATGATGGAATTGAACCAAAACTCCCACACAGAACCCCCATGACCACAAGAGTGGGCCACAGCAACGCGTGGCAGGGGACGGCTAGTCTATATAAATAAAAATGTAATGTTCGTTTGTGGGATTAATATAACTCAAAAACCACTAGGCAAATTGACACCCAATTTGGACAAAATACACCTATCAGGCCAACGAGTGATCATCACTCATAAAAACACTCATAAAAACACTCTTCCCCTGTGTTAAAGTCTCTTCCACCTTTAACACAGTGGAAGAGACTTAAAAAACCAAAAAAATACTAAAAACATTACAACGCATGCACAAAACCACATATATACCCATATACACAAATATATATACACACACACAAAACACATATACATAGATTGGGCCACAGCAATGCGTGACAGGGGACGGCTAGTGTGTGTGTGTATGCTCTCTCTCATGGGGTTCCACTAGGTTTGGGAACTACTCTTCCCAGAACGCCCCGCTCCCCTGACCGGAAACCGCCTCGCGCGAGAAGAGCCGGGGAGGCGCCGGGCAGCCGCGGTGCCTTGTGGGATCGGCGGCGGCGGCGGCGGCGGCGCTCCATCATGGCGGCTTCCATTTCGGGCTACACGTTCAGCTCGGTCTGCTACTACAGCGCCAACAGCAGCGCCGACCACGTAAGTCTCCGCCCGAGGGCCTCGTCCTTCGGAGCAGGGCGGCGGGGCTTTAGGGAAGCGAGGCCTCTTCCTGCCGCCCTTTCCCAGGGAATGGCAGCCCTCGAGGAAGAGGAAATGGGTGTGAGGGAGGGAGGAAGAGGCCAAGGCCAATGCAGCGGCTGCTTCAGAGGCGGCGTCGGGGGGGATTGGAGGAGGGAAAGGTTGGAGGAGGAGGGCGGCGCCCAGCCTATTTTGGGATCCACACGAACAGTAACGTGGATTGTGGAGAGAGACTTCATGCTGCTCTGTGGCGGAGGAAGGGGTGGGAAGAAGAGCACTGTGATCGCTCCTCAACAGAACACCAACCCTGAGAGTTGCAGGATGATGGGAGCTGCACACCATCATTGCTGTTTCGTGATGGTTATTGTAGTCACACCCTTAGTACTGCAGGATGATGGGAGGTGCAGAATATATCCCTATTGCTGAAAGATACAGAATGACGGAAGGTGCAAAATATTGCAGAAAGAGTAGCTAGACACCTTCCATCATCCTGTGCTGAGCGGTACAGGATGGTGGGAGGTATAAAATGCCAAAAAAGAGAGGTCATGTTATAGGTACAGGACATAAATGTTGAGAGCTACAGGATGATGGAAGGTGTGAAATGTCGTAGAAAGTGGCATTGTAATACTGTATGGGGCACAAATCCTTAGAGCCACAGAATGATGTGAAATATATAGAAAATGACACTGTCATAGTTACTGTGCTTTCGTGGCTGGAATCACTGGGTTGCTATGAGTTTTCTGGGCTACATGGCGTATGTTTAGCCTGAAGAAGAGAAGGCTGAGAGGAGATATGATAGTCATGTATAAATATGTGAGAGGAAGCCACAGGGAGGAGGGAGCAAGCTTGTTTTCTGCTTCCTTGGAGACTAGGACGCGGAACAATGGCTTCAAACTACAAGAGAGGAGATTCCATCTGAACAAGGAAGAACTTCCTGACTGTGAGAGCCATTCAGCAGTGGAACTCTCTGCCCCGGAGTGGGTGGAGGCTCCTTCTTTGGAAGCTTTTAAACACAGGCTGGATGGCCATCTGTCAGGGGTGATTTGAATGCAATATTCCTGCTTCTTGGCAGGGGGTTGGACTGGATGGCCCATGAGGTCTCTTCCAACTCTTTGATTCTATGATTCATTCTCTCCTGATGTTTTGCCCACATCTGTGGTAGGCATCCTCAGGGGTTGTGAGATCTGTTGGAAACGAGGCAGTGAGGTTTATATATCTGGAATACCCAGGGTGGGAGAAAAAACTCTCGTCTATTTGAGGCAGGTGTGAATGTTGTAATTTCCCACCTTGAATAGCATTGAATAGCCTTGCATTTTTAAAGTCTGGCTGCTTTCTGCCCGGAGGAATCCTTTCTTGGGAGGTGTTAGCTGTCCCGGATTGTTTCCTGTCTGGAGAAACAATCAGAAACTGCACACTAATTCAACCAGAGAAGTCAGCCATAACAGAGCACTTGATAAACCAACCAGGACACAGCATATTATTTGAGAACACAGAAATGCTGGACCACTCTAACTACCACCATGTCAGGCAATACAGAGAAGCCATTGAAATCCACAAGCACGTTGAAAGAATTTCAACAAAAAGGAGTAAACCATGAAAATGAACAAAATTTAGCTACCAGTATTAAAAACACAACAAGATGAGTCCACAGCAGACACTGCTGGCTGTTGTATTGAATCACACGTCGGACACTTCCCAAGTGTCTAGGATTGTGTGATTTATTGGCCAATAATGTGTGCAGATCCCAATAAGGTGGCCTTCTGCAGCTGATAGATGGTAATTTTGTCAGTGCTGATTGTGTTTAAGGTCTTTAGGCACTGCTCCCAGTGTGTCGATCACCACTTGGATCACCTTTACTGTCTTGTGCCAGAGTCTTTGCAGTTTGATCTTTAAATCCTCATATCGTGTGAGCTTTTCCAGTTGTTTCTCTTCGATCCTGCTGTCACCTGGGATTGCAACATCGATAATCCATACTTTGTTTTTTAACACGATCATGAGGTCAGGAGGATTGTGCTCCAAAACTCTTGTCTGTCTGAATTTGGAAGTCCCAGAGGAGCTTGACGTGTTCATTCTTTGTAACACCTCTCAACATCAGAGAAGCAGTTAAGCCCCCCGCCAACGTCAAGGCGGCACCCAATGGGGGTATTATTATTATTATTAACTTGATTTCTGTCCCCTTAGACACAACTCAATAAAATTTTATAACAAGGCAAAAACAAAAAAATTAAAAAAAAACAATTAAATATTTGTGTCATGGATACAAACGTTAAAATATAATAAAATACAATTGAAATTGAAAGCAAAACACCCCCTCCTCCCCATCTCACCCATAATGTCCCCAGAAATAGATCTACAGGGCACAATTCCAGAGAGTCACAGGATAATGGAATGCACAAAATATCATTCCTCTGATATCTGAGAGCTGCAGGATGAGAAGTGTGAAATGTCATAGAAAGTGTCATTGCAATACTTTACTGTACAGAGCACATATCCCGAGAACTACAGGATGATAGGATGTGAAAAATGTAGAAAGGTTCACTATGATAGCTATAGGACACAAATGCTGAGGGGTAAAAAATGATGGGAGATACACAATATCATCCATCTTGCCCTTGGTCGGCCCCTCTTCCTTTATCCTTCCATTTTCCCCAGCATCGTTATCTTCTCTAAGCTTTCCTGTCTTCTCATTTTGTGGGCAAAGTACTTCATCTTTGCCTCTAATATCCTTCCCCCCAGTGAGCAGTTGGGCTTTATTTCCTGGAATATGGACTGGTTTGATCTCCCACTGCTCTTCTCCCAAGTAGTAAATGTCTTCCTGGCCGCAGTCTGTGAATGCAGTAATCTTTGCTCCTAGAAATGCAAAGTCTGTCCCTGCCTCCATGTTTTCTCCCTCTATTTGCCAATTATCAATCCGTCTTCTTGCCATAATCTTGGGCTTTTTGATGTTTAACTGCTACCCAGCTTTTGCACTTTCTTTTTCACCTTGGTTATAAGGTTCCTCAGCTCCTCGCTTTCAGCCATTGAAGTGGTATCTAAGGTTGTTAATATTTCTTCCAGCAATTTTAACTCCAACCTTGGATTCATCAAGCCCTGCATGTCACATGATGTGTTCTGCATACAAGTAGAATAGGTTGGGTGAGAGTATACAGCCCTGCTGTACTTCTTTCCCAATCTTGAACCAGTCTATTGTTCCATGGTCTGTTATTACTATTGCTGTTTGGTCGTTATACAGATTTCTCAGGAGACAGACAAGGTGACTTGGTATCCCCATACCACCAAGAACTTGCCACAGTGTATTGTGATCTACACAGTCAAAGGCTTTAGAATAGTCAATAAAACAGAAACACATGTTTTTCTGAAACTCCCTGCCTTTCTCCATTATCCAGTGGATATTGGCAATTTGGGTCTCTTGTTCCTCTGCCTTTTCTAAACCCAAGATTTCTAAATCGGGCAATGCTCGCTCCATGTATTGCTGAAGTCTACCTTGCAGGATCTTGAGCATTACCTTATTGGCATGTGAAATAATTGCCACTTTATGAAAGTTTGAGCATTCTTTAGTGTTTCCCTTTTTTGGTTTCTCCAATCTGATGGCCTTTTTGTGTTTTCCATATTTGCTGGCATATGGCATGCATCACCTTGACAGCATCATCTTTCAAGATTTTAAACAGTTCAGCTGGGATCGTGTCATCTCCTGCTGCCGTGTTATTAGCAATGCTTCTTAAGGCATTAATCTCACATTACCTGCCTTGAACTGGGTTATATGACAGTATGGATTCAGATTGTCAATGGCCCTCCCACAAACCATATAACCCTGAATATCAAAGCAGAAAATCCCACAATATCAGCTTTGAACTAGGACCTCTTCCACACAGCTGAATAAAGTCCCATATTTTCTGTTTTGAACTAGAATATATGACAGTGTGGACTCAGATAACCCAGCTGAAAGCAGATGTTGTGGGATTTTCTGCCTTTATATTCTGTGTTATATGGCCGTGTGGAAGGGCTCTGAGTTATCTGAGTCCACACTGCCATATATTCTAGTTCAAAGCAGGTAAGGTGGGATTTTATTCAGCTGTGATGAAGGGGCCCCAGTTCAAAGCAGACATTGTGGATTATCTGCCTTGATATTCTGGATTATATGGCAGTGTGGAACGACCCTTGGTTCTCAACTGTTGCTTGACACCATTAATATTTCCTGTAAGTCAAAAGTCACATCAATGAATATATAATGAATATAGCCTGTACTAAATAGGGTTGCCCTCCATCTGAAGATATATTGCAGTTTGGGGTGCATTGATACTGTAGAACAGGGATCCCCAAACCTTTTATGTAGAGGGTCAGTTCATGGTCCCTCTGACTAATGGGGGGACACACACTATAGTTTTGGGGGAAAATGAACGAATTCCTATGCACATGGCACATATCATGGCACATGAAAGAATACAATATTTAAATGAAGAGCCATTTGAACTTACCAGTATTCCAATGGGAAGTGTGGGCCTGATGAGATAATCGAGTTCATTAGGATTGTTGTTGTGTGATTTCAAGTGGTTTCGGACTTAGGGTGACCCTAAGTCTAAAGTTAGGGTAGGAGCCAGGTAGATGACCTTGGAGGGCTGCATCTGGCCTACAAGCCTTGGTTTGGGGACCCCTGCTGTAGAATGAATGCAACTTAACACCATTTTATCAGCCATGGCTCGATGCTATGGGATCATGGTATTTTTAGTTTGGTGAGAGAAGGCTGCAGATCTTGTAAAACTGCAATTCCAGAAGCACAATTAGATGTGCTTCTGGATACAGCACTGAGGCCGGAATGTCAGGTTTCTTTAGTGACCAGATGTGCTTTAGCAAAGTTAAGGCTTGTGAGCTACCTGTGCCTGTTTATGGGACTTGACCACAGTGACATATCGCCTTAGTGCTGGTATGGGGAAACCCAGCCCAAGAGGCTGGACGTGGCCCCT